GTTTTCTCCTTTGACGATGTGAATCCTGGGGTTTGAGCTCAGGTTCACAATTGGCAGCAAGTGCCTTTATTTCCTGTGCTCCTGCAGGCCCAAAGTCTCTCCTACTAGCCGCTGTGTTATACTGATTTCATATGTACTAAACTTTTGGAAGCTGCATGGTTGACTATAAGCCAAACACTGGACCAAGCACCTATGCAGGGCAGAATTTATCATTTCCAGTTTTCAGGAAAGGATTCAGAGGGCTGGGAATACTGCTCAGTTGCTAGAGTGCTTGTCTAGAGTACACAGAGCTCTGGGTTCCTCCTACAGAACCTCCTACAGAACCCTCCTACAGAACTTAGTGTGGTAATGCACACCTGCTATACCAGCATTTGGCAGTTTGAGGCAGAATTGTCATAAATTATATGATTTTAGAAATGGTGGTTGATGTTTGTAGTTTTCCTGGTTTTAGGATTAAATAAACAGGTTTATTTATTTTTGTATGTAGGAATGAGTTGCCACCAGTGTCTTCTTCAGTCACTCTCTACCATGTCTTTAGAGGCTGGGTCTCTCACTAAACATGACACTCACCTTTAGCTAACCTGACTGACCAACAAGTTTTGGGGATCTGTGCTCCCCATTTCCTAATAATATCATAGATGCCCCAACCACAACTTGCTTTTAACATGGTCTCTGGGCATCCTCACTCAGAGCCTCATGCTTTTATAGGAATCATTTTACCCACTGTGCCATAACACCTGCCTCACAATTTATTATTCCATGAATTTCAGCAACTCAATATCCTTTTGAGTCCTCTGTTTTTCAGCCCTAAGTTTGCACCATTGGGAGAGTTATTGGTTACATTGTACAGAGTCGGGTGCTGGGCTCCACTCAACTCCCTTTCCTGTTTCCCTGCAGACAAAAACAACACTTGTGAGGTCTTCATCTGCAACTGTGACCGTCGGGCAGCCATCTGCATCCAAAGAAGAAAAAGTAAGTAGGCTTTCACTGTTAGCCTTGTCACCTTAGTTACTGCTTACACCACCCCTGTCTGCTTGATTATGTTCACTGCATACTGTGCCCTCTAATAAAGCATCTAGTGAGAGAGCTGGGCTTTGGTGACTGTATTCTCTGTCTACAGAACATAACTATATCCTCAGAGAACATCATTTCCTCTAGCACTGGAAGCTGAGGATTAATGGGAAAGACGTTTCAATAGGGGAGCACCTTAAAGAGTGGGTGATGAGCCCAGCCGTGCCTTTCATCCCAGCACTCAGAAATGCCGAGGCAGAAGGCAGATCTCATGAGTTCAATGCCATCCTGGTCTAAAACACAAGTTCTGGGACAGCCAGGACTATTACACAATGAAACCCTGTTTAAAAAAAAAAAACAACTACAACAAAAGAACAACTCAGCCTGAGATACATAGGGCTTAGGGGCAGACAGAAAGGGAAGGGGAGGAGAGGCATGAGGCAGGGATACGTGTAGTGGTTGTAGCTGTCCCGATACCTGATGGAAGTGTAGAAAGAGCTTGAACATGGAGACAACCAACTCAACATTTTTATCCAGGGAAGAGGGTAGAATTGGAGGAACTTCTACAACTGGTAAACACCTTCAGTAAAGTGGCAGGATACAAGACTAACTCAAAAAAATCAGTAACCCTCCTCTATATAGATGATAAATGGGCTGAGAAAGAAACCAGAGAAACATCACCCTTCACAAAAGGCACTAACAACACAAAATATCTTTTTTTTTATTTTTCCATATTTTTTATTTAACTTTTTATGCATGTCACTTTCAGTTCCCTCTTCCTCCCCTCCTCCCCCATCCCCCAGTTCCCCCAACCCCTCACCTCCACTCTATTCCCCCTCTGCTCCCCAGGGAGGGCAAGGGCCTCCATGAGGGATTTCCAGAGTGCGTCACATCATCCCAGGAACAGCCCAGGTTCTTCCCTATGTGTCCAGGCTGAGAGAGCGTCCCTCCACATGGAATGGGCTCCCAGAGTCCCTCTGTTTGCCAGGATTAAATACTGCTTCACTCTCCAAGGTCCCACAGATTGCCAAGGCCTCCTCTCTGTCACCCAGGTTGGGTGGGAGGATGTCTGGATCAGTCCCATGCTGACCCCCCCAATCATCAGTCTGGGGCCCATGTGATGCCCCTTGTTTAGGGCAGCTGCCTCTGTGGGTCTTGCCAGCCCGATCCCGATTCCCTTGGTCATCACTCCTTTTTGCAAGTGGGTTCCAGGAGTTCAATTTGGTTCACAGCTGTGGGTGTCTGCCTCTGCCTCCATCAGCCACTGGATGAGAGTTCTAGGATGGCATATAAGGCAATCATCATTCTACCCATCATGGGAGGGCATTTAAGGTAGCCTTAATGCCAGTTAACACAAAATATCTTGAGATGATCCTAACCCAACAAGTGAAAGACCTGTATGACAAGAACTATAAGTCTTAAGAAGAAATTAGAAAGATATCAGAAAATGCAAAGATCTCTCATGCTCTTGGATAGATAGGATCAACATAGTAAAAATGTCAATCTGCAAGAAACTGACCTTGGCTGGACTGCTTGGCAGTATGTTGCATAAAATGGACATGTAGGACCCACAGGAAAGTGACTGTTGAACTTTGCCAAAACAAGGAATGACAGCCCTTCAATTTTCCTGCTTCACTGAAAAGTCTGTCAGATACTCTAGGCCTGTAGGCTGAAGATGGATGCCCAACATTGCAGAGAACTTTCAAAACAGTCAGCTGTTTGTCATTTCAAGAGTTGTGGAACTTGTTTGCAATTCACTTCCTGTTAACTCAGGTTACAGTATATCCTTCTGGATACTTGACTGGAGTTGAAGACTAGATAGTTATTGTTATAGTTTTCTTTAATTAAGATAGAAAGTAAATTAGGTACAAAACTTTGGAGAGACTAAGATAAGATAGATAATTGAGTATTTTTCTGAATTTGCTAAATACAAATGGACCGAATATTGTAAATGTTATTATTACTTGATAACTCTTTCTGTTGTATATAGTTTTAGTATGTTAAAGTTAAAACCTTTCATTTTTATTTAGACAAAAGGAGGAAATATTGTAAAATATTGTTTTAACACCTGTGGCATTGTTTATGATGTAGAACATTTGTTTAATGATGCAAAGATGTGTTGCATTCTTTTATGTGGCATTTGCTTAACTCTGTGAAGCTGTGATACTGTGACTGTCTAAAACACCTGATTGGTCTAATAAAGAGCTGGATAGCCAATAGCAAGGAAGGAGAGGGATAGAACGACTAGATAGGGTAATGAGAAAAAGAGAGGACACCAGGAGGCAGCCAACCAGTTACACAGCAAGCCATGGAGTAAGAAGTAAAGACATATATAGAACAGAGGAAAATGAAAGCCCAGAGGCAAAAAAGGTAGATGGCATAATTTAAGCAAGACTGGCTAGAAACAAACCAAGCTAAGGTCAGACATTCATAAGAAAGAATAATTTATTTGGGAGCTTGGTGGTGGGCCCCCAAAAACCAAAGAGCCAAAGGAGTAAAAGACAGAGAGAGAGAGAGGGAGGGAGAGAGAGAGATACAGAGACAGAGACAGAGAAAGAAAGAAACAACTTCAAGCCTGATCTACTAGTGACTTTCTGGATACAAAGGCACCCTGTCACCAAAAACCAAAAAAGACAAAAGAAAGAAACAAAGAAAGCAAATGCCCAGTAGCTGTGCCCACAGGCCAATGTGATGCAGGCAATCCTTCAGCTGAGGCTCTCCCTCCCCTGTGTGAAGCTTACAGTCAACCATTACAGGGGTTGGATAGATGCCTCAGCTCTTAAGAGCACTTTCTGCTCTTGCTGGGGACCAAGGTACAATTCTCAGCAACAACATGGTGGCTGCCAAACAATGTCAGCTGGCACAATGCCGTCTTGCCTCTAGGTTGAATATCTGTCATGTTCCTCCCCCTTAGCACCCCAGCACCTCCTTTCCCCCACTTTTACCCTCTTCCCTGGATAAAAACCTTTTAGGAGGTGAGTTGAGCTGGTTGTCTCCATATTCAAGCTACTCTGGAAAGCCACAACCAGTTGTTACCAGTCACTGTGCCTATGCATGGGGCTATAGCTTCACCTGTGACTCATCAAACCCGACCTAGGGAGGGACAATGCCAGAACTTTGGGACAGGAACAGGCATGGGAGTGGAAAGACAGAGGACAGGACAGCTGTTAACTAAAGTGAAAGAGAGACTGAGAACCATGTAGCCTTAAACCAGCCAATGAAACACCTTCTTCCTAAATCTGGTTGACCAGATGTTTATCTGGCTTCACATGTTGTATCCTATGATAGAGAAATGTTTAGACTATGACATGATGTTTTTGTCTATTGCCAAAAGCTAAGATTGTGTGTATTTTAGCGGAACAATTATCCTGTGGTGTGTGTTTAGGCACAGTGAAGACTCACAGGCCACCAGGATGTAATCCTGCCTTCAGGTCACTAACCCTCATTCTACTTTGGTCTCCTGCATCCACGTTCCTATAATGAGCACACAGCAGAAGCGCTCTGAGTCCAGTATTTCTAGGGTAAATGTCCCGTAGTGTCCATGTGACACTGCATCTTTCTCTCCTCCCTCTCCTCCTATCTCTCTGTCTTGTGTTTTCTTCCCTTCTCACTCCTCCCCCTCCTTTTCTGTTCGTATCCGTGCCTCATCTCTCCCTTTCAACCCCTTCTGCATGCCCCTGCTCAGGCTGAATTGTTTTTTTGCTGTTATTGTTTTTTTTGAAACAGGTTTTCTTTGTGTAATAGCACTGCCTGCCCTAGAACTAATTTGTAGACCAGGCTGGCCTTGAACTCAAGAGCCTTGCCTTCTTCTGCCTCTGCTGAATGCTGGGATGAAAGGCAAGGCTGGTCTCGTCACCTACTGTTTAAGGTGCTCCCCTAATGACAATGTCTTTCCCATTAATCCTCAGCCCTAATTTCTAGGGCTAAATGAATGATGTTCTCTGTGGATCTAGTTATGTTCTGTAGACAGAGAATACAGACACCAAAGCCCAGCTCTTTAAATACATGCTTTATTAGAGGGTACAGTGTATGGTGAACACAACCAGGCAGGCAGGGGTGGTGTAGGCAGTAACTGAGGAGACAAGTCTAACAGTGAATGCCTTTATTCTTCTTGTTGTATGGGGCATTGGAGAAGCAGATGGCTGCTTGTTTGTCACAGTTGCAGATGAAGGCGTTACAGGCATTGTTCTTGTCTGCAGAGAAACAAGAAAGGAAGTTGACTGTAGCCCGTCACCCTACTCTATACAATTTATAACCGAAAGACACCATTCACCTGTCCAATGGTGCAGGCTTACAGTTGAGAAACAGGCCACTCAAAAGGACATTGTGTTGCCCAAATTGCTGGCACATACAAAAATTAAATAATTCATCATTGTGTGGTAGGGAGATGGCACAGTTGGTAAAGTGGTTTCCATGCAATCACGAGGCCTGAGCTAGGATGCCCAGAGTCCACGTGAAAAGCAAGGTGTGGTTGGGCATCTGCAACTCTTTTGGGAAGTGGGGAGGACAGATCCCCACAACTTGTTGGTCAGTCAGGTTAGCTAAAGGTGAGTGTCATGTTTAGTCAAAGACCCAGCCTCTAAAGACATGGTAGAGAGTGACTGAAGAAGACACTGGATGCTGACTCATTCCTAAACATAAAAATAAATGAGCCTGTGTATTTGACCCTAAAACCAGGAAAAGTACAAACATCAACCACCACTTCTAAAATCATATGCTTTAAGACAATCCTCCTGCCTCCACCTCGGAAGTGCTGGGATGGCAGGTGTGCACCACCACACTCAATGCATGGGTTCTGGAGGTGGAACCCAGGGCTCTGTGCACTTAGACAAGCTCTCTAGCAACTGAGCCATACTGCCATCCCTCTGAATCCTCACTTGTTAAATGGGAACGATAAATCTTGTCCTGAATATGCATTTAGTTTATTGTTTTGCTTATAGTCAATGATGCACCTTGCAATCATTTAGTAAATATGGAATCAGTATAACACAGGAGCTACTTGGTGAGACTTTGGTCAGGCAAGATGGCTCAGGGAATAAAGGCACATGCTGCCAAATCTGAACCCTAGTTTCATCCCCAGGACTCACATGGTCGAAGGAGAGAACAGACTCCTGCACATTGTCCTCAGATCTTCACACCTGTGCTGTGGCATAGTCATGCCTCCCCAGAAATGCATAAACACTTTAAACGTTTTTAAGAAAGAGGTTTTGGGATGATGTAGACCTTTGTTCCAGAACCAAATGCCCTCAATTCTTAGCTGGTTGACCTTGGGCAACTGGCTGGACCTTCCATGTCTTCCTTATCAGTGACCTCATCTATATTTTTGTGTCTACCTGATAATGTGGTTGTGATGTCAAACAAAATCAGGGAAATGTCCACTACATGGTAACTGTCCTTGTTACTTCCCTGTCCCTTCCAAACCCATCTAGGACCAAGCAGAATCCAGAGTCCCCAGAGGGTAACCCTACCACTGCAGATGATCTCATTCCTGGAGCAGGAGTACGAGTAGAAGGCGATGTAGGGGTTGTCTAGGAATCCGCAGCTTTTCAGCTCCTTGGCCCGATCATAGCAGTAGTCGTGAGTCTGACAGCACCTGAAGAAAGGAAGGAACAGCTGAGGGAGGAGCATGGACACACACGAGGTCAGTTCTCACCTGCAGTTTTTCTCAAACATGTGAGGATGACTGAAACACAATGTTACAGAAGTAATCGTCCCCAGGCTTGAGAATCTTAGATCTGTATTAAGCATATGTTGATTGAAATCATTTTCTGTGGAGTGTGGTAGGTGCTGGCCTTTAATCCCAGGACTTGGGAAGCAGAGGAAGGTGCATTTCTGAATTTGAGACCAGTCAGGGATACAGAAGTGAGACCCTGCCTCAAAAAAGTGATTTTTAACCAAGTTGCGGGAACAGTGAAATTATGTATTCAGAAGTTTTGGTGACTTTTCAAAGCCAAGTGTGACATTTTGGTGGTGGCTGTGATGATTGGCTGTGTCCTAGTCTGGCAACTGAGGACAGCATTGTCCACTATTTACATATCATACATTCTGTTTTCCAGGACTACTAGATACAGGGTCCTCTTGCACAGATATTTTTACATGACAAGAGGGGAAAATGCAGGCAGGGTGTGGTGGTGCAGGCCTTTAATTCCAGCACTCAGGAGGCAGAGGCCAGCAATGGTCTCCAGAGACAGATTCAGGAAACCTAGGCTACACAGACATCCCCTGTCTGGAAACAAGCAAATAAAAATGAATAATTAATAAAAAACAAATATATGATGTTTGGGGAACATGCACATCTCCTGATCTTGCTTTATGACATGTTGTCTTTGTGCTCAGTCCCCACCCCACACAGACTCTGCAGTCTCCCACCAGATGGATCACTCACCTATCTAACTCATCCACTGGAGTGTTTGAGCCTCCAAAGCCACAGTAGCAGCCATAGTTGCTGTAATCTTTGAAGGGATGACTCCCAGGGATGATGCACTTGATTACATTATTGAACTGCAACAGAGCCCGACGCCTGATGCTGTGTGCAGTAGCGCCTGTGCAAGAAAGCACCGCACATTCCACCAGTCCCACTTGGCTTTACCAGGGGTCTGATGCCTGCCCGCTGGCTTCCTCCTTAACTGCTACCAGCTGCTGCATCTGGAGAGCAGTGAATAGAGGTGTGAGGCGGTCAGAGGAGTTGGTTTTCTCCCTCTGCTGTGTAGATCTTGGAGACTAAACTTAAGTCACCAGGACTGAGCAGAATGCTATTCCATTTTTAGAGACAGAGAGCTGCCCTGTATCCCAGGCTAGACTCCTGTCTGTAGCAAACCTCTGGCCTCAGCCTCCCAAGAGGTAGGATTATAAGTAAGCACCACTTTAGTGATCCTGGCCCCTTCTCTGAGGTTAAGTTCTGTGACAGTTGCCTTTTGCCTTGCTTACCTTCTCATTTCTCACTGTTAGGACAGACAGCTACCACAGTGTGAGTTACCCTATCGTCCCTGTGTTGAGGAGCTGAGGACACTCTCCAGTCATCAGCCAGGGATGGACTGACCTCTTAGTTCAATAACACAAAAATCCAACCATCTCTTGAGTGTGAACCCTGCTCCACTCCTACTCAATCCTAGGTGAAACCCGAGCCTTAGCCAGCAGTGGGATTCATCACAGTTCTAGTTGAGACCTTGAACCTGAGAAGCAGCCAACACATGCTTATTGTTTTACACTGGAGAATTAAAAGGAATCTGTTTTATGTTCATGTACAGCTCATATACAAGGCTAATGGTCATATCATCATGTGTAACATGCATTTCACATAACAAACTGTTCATCAGTTGAGGAGTAGGTAAATAAGCAAGGATTCAGTTTGCAGTGGGATACTTGGCTACCATTAAAATGAAGGAAAAGCCAGGTACAGTGGATCACACACTGGTTAATCCCAGCTATCTGGAGGCAAAGGCCAGTGGATATATGAATTCCAAGCCAGCTTGATCCATGCAGTGAGTTCCATGATATGGCTACACAGAGAAACCCTGTCTTGTAAATTGGAAAAAAAAAACGGAATTGCACATACAAGCCAGGCATGTATGTAATCCTAACACTTGGGATGTTGAGGCAAGTCTGGGCTATAATATTGATTTGGAGGCATCCTCAACTGCATTATAAATCACATCAACAACAAGAACAACAATGACAACGACGATGATGACGACGATGATGATGATGATGCCTAGAGAGATAGCTCAGCAGTCAGGACCACTTGTTGAGCTTGTGTAGGACCCAGGCTGGGTTCCAGCATCCATATGGCTGCTCACAGTTCTGGAAGATCAGACCCCTCTTCTGTCCTCTGTAGGCACTGCTCACACACAGTGCACAGACACACATGGAGCCAAAACACTCATACACATAAAATGAAAGTGGGTATTTTCAAAGGGATAAGAAAAATCAAATTGCCAGGGCAGCTTGGGTTCAGAGAAATGGGTACAATATGGTGGATGCAGAGGGGCTTTCTTTGCTTGGGTAGGTTATGTAGTGGGCTTTTCTAAATACTCATCTGAGGGTAAGGGTGCCAGCTGTTGTGCAGATGAGGGTGAGCATGGAACCCCAACCCTGAGACTATTAGACCCCAGTGGAAAACCCAAGCCAGAACTTCAGGTGTGACCAGCAAGTATCTCTTCATTGATGACAAGGCAGATGGTGGGACACTTAGGGGGGATAAGAGTCCTACCTGTGAGCAGAGTGACCAGCAGAAGGAGTTTCATCTTGAGTGAGGGGAGGACTCAAGTGATTGCTCTCTTTATAGTCCTGTAGCTGTGCTGACAGTGTCCAGTCAGCACACAGTCCGGTTGGCAAGGTGACTTCAGGTGCTGGTATAACCTGAATCAGTTCTGTGACAGAGGCAAAGAGAAAGGGCTAGCTCAACACCCCATAGCAGCTCAAATAGAGTGACTGTCAAAGTGCCAATTCCCTGTCCAATGGATGCTTTGAGGTCATAAGAATATCGTTCCTGGGTTTGGGTCTGAGGGATGCTGATAGTGACATGTGGTCCCAGGCAAGAGTAGCTGGGCCCAACAATCCTCCATGTTAACTGTATAAACTAAATGCTAGGTCTGTCCCAAGATCTGACACAGCCTTTGAGGTAGATGCAGTTACAGAGTCAGTCTTTAATTAATTATTTAATAAATAAGTGTGTATACTTTTGAGAGAGAGAGAGAGCAAGAAAGATAGACTGAGAGAGTATTTGTGTGCACATTGGAGGTCAGAGGACAACTATGTTGATTCTCTTCTCTCCTTCTTCCTTTAAATGGGTTCCAGGAATTGATCTTGGGTCTATATAATTGACTCCATTAAAAATTATTCTTAAGGAAAAGAACAGTAAATGCCCAACAGTGTACCCATAGGCTAATATGATGCAGACAATCTTTCAGGCAAGGCTCCCCCTCCCCAGTGTGTGAAGCTGACAACCAACCATTACAGGGGCTGGAGACACGGATCAGAACTTAAGAGCTCTTTCTGCTCTCGTGGGGGACCAGAGTTCAATTCTTAGCCCCCACATGGTAGATGGGGAACAATGTCTGCTGGCCCAATGCCCTCTCACATTGTGTTTGGTCATCTCTCACGTACCCTCCACCACCAGCACCCCAGAACCTCCTTTTCTCCACTTCTACCCTCTTTCATGGATAAAGACCTCATAGTGGGTGAATTGAGCTGGTTGTCTCCATGTTCAAGTTCCTTCTACACTTCCAGCAGGAGGACTCTGGACAACCACAGCCCACTACTACCAGTCACTGTTCCTGTGCATGGGGCTCTAGGTCCTCTTGTGACCCATCATACTTGGTCTAGGAAGGGACAAGGCTGGAGCTATGGGACAGGAATGGGCATGGGGAGGGGTGAAAAGCTGGAGGACTGGGCAGCTGCTCACTAAAGGAAAAGAGAGACTGAGAACCACGGAGCCCTAAACCAGCCAAGGAAACACCTCCTTCCTAACTCTGGTGGACCAGGGAACCAGAGATTAATTTGGCTTCATGTGTTGTGTCCTGTGATAGAGAAAGGTAGAGGAGACAATGTGTTCTCTTTTATTTGTTGTAAAAACCTAGGATACTGTGAACTTCAGAGGATCAATTGTCCTGTGGTGTGTGTTTAGGCACAGTGAAGACTTAAAGGCCACCAGGATGTAATCCTGCCTTCAGGTCACTAACCCTCAGTCCACTTTGGTTTCCTGTATCCCACCTCCTATGATGAGTGCACAGCAGAAGCACTCTGAATCCAGTGCTTCTAAGGACAAGATGTTCCTTTAGTGCCCATGTGACACAGCAACTCTTTCTCTTCTCTCTCCTCCTATCTCTCTGTCTTCTCTTTCTTTCCCTCCCCACCCATCCCCACCTTTTCTGTCCCTATCCCTGCCTCATTTCTCCCTTCCCCTTCCCCTTCTGTCTGCCTCTACCACACTATGCATCTTAGGCTGAGTTCTTTTGCTGTGCTTGTTTTCTGAAATGGGGTTTCCTTGTGTAATAGTCCTGGATGTTCTGGAACTCACTTTTTAGATCAGATTGGCCTTGAACTCAAGAGATGTGCTTTTCTTCTGTCTCTGCATCCCTGAGTGGTGACATGAAAGGCACGGGTGGGCTCATCACTTACTTTTCAAGTGCTCCCCTAGTGGCAATGTCTTTTCCATTAATCTTCATCTTCTGGGGCTGAACTGAATGATGTTTTCTGAGGATCTAGTTATGTTTAGTAGACAGAGAATACAATCACCAAAGCCCAGTTCTTTCAATACATTCTTTGTTAGAGGGCACAGTGTGTGGTGAACACAACCAGGCAGGCAGGGATGGTGTTGGCAGTAAGTGAGGTGACAAGTCTAACAGTCAATGCCTTTGTACTCTTTGTTATATAGAGTCTTGGAGAAAAGATGGGATCCTGGTGGTCACAGTTGTAGATGAAGGTGTCAAAGGCAATATTTTATCTTCAGGGAAAGAAGAAAGGAAGTTGAGTGGAGTCCATCATGCTACTTTGTACAATTTATTTTTTCAAATAAATTTTTACTTAAAGACTATCTTACTTTACATATCAATCCCTCTTCCCTCTCCCTCTTGTCCTCCTATGCCCTCCCACTGACCTCCCCATCCTATTCCCCTCATCTAATCCCCAGGGAGTGTGAGGCCTTCCATGGGGGATCATTAAAGTCTGACACTTTATTTGGGGCAGGATCTAGGTCCTCCCCCATGTATCTAGGCTGAGAGGTTGTCCCTCCATAGGGAATGGGCTTCCAAAATCCATCCATGCACTAGGGATAAGTACTGAGATGACTCATTACTTAAGAGCACTTTCTGCTCTTGCTGGGGACTGGAGTTTCAATTCTCAGTAACCACATTGTGGATGTTGAACAATGTCTGCTGTCCCAATGCCGTATCCCCTCGTGTTTAGCCATCTGACATGTACCCTCTAACTTTACACCCTCACAGATACTTTTCCCCACTTTTCACCTTCCTTGGATGACAACCATGTAGGGGTGAGTTCAGTTGATTGTCTCCATGATCAAGATCTTCTTACCCTTCCAACCAGAGTCTGACCAGCCACTACCAAGTCATACAGGTTACTGCACCTGCACAGGTGGCTCTAGGTGCACCTGTTCCTCATCAGGCCTGACCTTAGAAGGGGGAAAGCCGGAACTTTGGGCAGGAGCTGGAATGGGGGTGGGGGTGGAAAGGTAGAGGACTAGGCAGCTGTTAACTAAAGGAAAAGAGAGAGTGAGAGTCAGGTAGCCTTTAACCAGCCAATCAGACATCTTATTCAAAAATCTGGTTGACCAAGGAACCAGGGATCAACCTGGCTTCACTTGTGTGGTCCCATGGAGGAGAAAGGTTGGGGAGATGACAGGTTCTGTTTTGTTTGTTGTAAAACGTTAGGCTGCTGTGTGCTGTAGTGCTCCTCACAGGTAGTGGATACAAGAAACCAAACTGGACCAATGGTAAATGACCTGCAGGCAGGATTTCATCCTGGTCGTCTAAACACACACCACAGGATAATTGTCTCGATAACGTTCACAGCAGCCTAGCTTTACAACAAACAAAAGAGAACATGTCGTCTCCTCTACCTTTGTATATTACCTGACTCAGTTGCTAAAGCCAAGTTAATATGTGGTTTGCTATCAGATTTAGGAATAAAATCTCTTATTGGCTGGTTTAAGGCTACTTGGTTCTCGGTCTCTTTTCCTTTACCAAATAGCTGCCCATTCCTCTGCCTTTCCACCCCACCCCCATTCGACTCCTGCCTAGAGCTCAGGCCTTATCCCTTTCCAGGTTGAACCTGGTGAGCAATAGGTGCAGATACAGATTCCTGTGCAGGCAAAGTTACAGGTAGGATCTATTAATGGCTGTCCAGAGTCCCACTGGAAGGGTAGGGGTATCCTGAGTGTGGAGACAACCAACTCAACTCACTCCTGCATGGTTTTTATCCAGGGAAGAGGTGAGTAGTGGGGAAAGAAGGTGTGGGGTGTTAAGGGGGGGGTACTGAGAGATGGCCAAACACAGAGACCTGAGGGCATAGGGACAGCAGACATTGCTCACCAGCCACCATGTGGGTGCAGAGACTTGAACTTTGATCCTCCAGCAAGAGTAGAAAGTACTCGTAGGTGCTGAGCCATCTCTGCAGCCCCTGTAATGGCTGATTGTCAGCTTCACACACTGGGGAGGGAGAGCCTCAGCTGAAGGATTACCTGAATCACATTGGCCTGTGGACACAGCTGTTGGACATTTGCTTTCTTTTTCTTTTATTCTTTCATTCTATTTTTTATTGGGTTTTGAGACATGGTTTCTTGTGTACTTCTGGCTGTCCTGTAACTAACTTTTTATTTCAGGTTGGCCTTGGACTTATGTATTCCCCTGCCTCTGCCTCCTGAGTGCTGACATTAAGGGCATGCTTCACCACTACCACCATCGGGCTACATTCTCAGTTTTTAATGGAGTTTGTAGTCTCGTAAGATGCAGCCTATGATCAAGCCTGTCCATTTGAGTTCGATTCCCGGAACCCACTTAAAGGTAGAAGGAGAGAACTGACTCCTCAGACTTGTCCTCTCACCTCCCCATGTGAACACAAATGCTCTCTCTCTAACTCTCTCTCTTTTGATTGCTCTTACACACAATGAATATGCAAATTAATAATTAACTAAAGATCCAGTTTGCAAGTAGATCTACCTCCTATGCTGTGTCTGGTTATTTTGATAGACTTGGTGCTTAGTTAAAACAGTTAACATGGAGGACTGTTGGAGCCAGCTACTCCTGCCTATGAGCACAGGTCACTCTCAGCATCCCTGAGATTTAACCCCAGGAGCAATGTCTATGTCTTCCTATGACTTCAAAGCCTCCATTGGGAAGGGACTTGGCACTTGTCAGTCACTGCACTTAAGCTGCTGTGTGTGCTGAGCCCTGATTCAGGCTCTGCCACCATCTACAGTAGTTCTATCAGCAATGTCTGTGAGGGTGGACATATCCTACTTCTGTGCTACACACACAGTAGTCACAGGCCCCGTGTGCTGACTGGACACTGTCAGAGCACAGCCACAGGACTATAAAGAGAGAAGTCACCTGAGTCCTCCCCTCACTCAAGATGAAACTCCTTCTGTTGGACACTCTGCTCACAGGTAGGACCCTTGTTCCCTCTGAGTGCCCACCATCTTCCTTGTCTTCAATGCACAGAACCTGCTGTTCACTCCTGAAGTTCTGGTTTGGGAGTTCCCATTGGGGTATGATATCACTGGTTTGGTGTTTCCTGCTCACCCCCATGTTCTCAAAAGCTGGCACATTTAGTCTGTAGGTCTGAACTCAGATGACCACTTAGAAGACTCCTCTACATTCACCTACACAATCAAAGAAAGACCCTTCTGCCTCTACCATGTTGCCATGACACCCACTTCCTTGGCCCTAAGCTGCCCTGGTATTTTGATTTTGCTCATCCTTTTAAAAAGTATTTACATTTATTTTATATGTGTGAGTGTTTTCTCTGCATGTCTGTCTGTAAACTGTGTAAGCAGAGCCTACAGAGGACAGAAGAGGGTCTGGTCCTACAGAACTGGGGTCACAGACAGCTGTGACCTGCCTGTGAGGGCTCAGTCCAAGGCCAGGTTCCCAACAAGCTCAGTAAGTGCCATCTGTCTACCAATTATTATCATTTTATGTGACCTTATTATGTGGCTCTGGATGTCCTCCAACTCAAATTATAGCACAGACTTGAAACCTTCCTGCCTCAACCTTCCAAATATTCGGATTACATACATGCCTCTTGTGTCTTCATTTTTTCCCAGTTTTACACGAAAGTGTTTTCCTCAAAGCCATGGCATCTTAGAACTCACTCTATAGACCAGGCTGACTTTCAGCTCAGATATCTACCTGTTCTGCCTCCAGAGTGCTGGGATCACACACTGTGTGTTCCACTGTACCTGGCTTCTTCATTTTATTGTTGACAAGGTATAACATGGCTGACTGAATCCTGGTATATTTACCTACTCCTCAGCTGATGAACAGTTTGTTACATTAAATACAGACGTTACCCACGATGATATGACCATTAGCCTTGTATATGAGCCTTGTATGGTCATACACAGATTCCTTCTAGCATTCCAGTGTAAAACAATAAGCCTGTGTTGGCTGCTTCTCTGGCTCAAGGTCTCAGCTAGAACTGTGATGAATCCCACTGCTGGTTAAGGCTGGGGTTTCACCTAGTCTTGAGTAGGGGTGGAGCAGGTTTGACACTCAAGAGATGGTTGGATTTTTGGGTTATTGAGTTCAGTCCATCTATAGCTGCTGACTGGAGAGTGTCCTCAGCTCCTCAACACAGGGACCACAGGGAAGCTCAGTGTGGCAGCTGTCTGTCCTGACAGTGAGAAATGAGAAGGCAAGCAAGGAAAAAGACAATGTGTTTAGAACTTAATCTCAGAAAGGCATCCAAGTACTGTAGAGTAGTGTTCATTTATAATCCTACCTTGTGGGAGGATGAGGCTTGAATGTTGCTACAAGTTATGAGGCTAGCCTGGGTTACAGGGCAATTCACTGTCTCAAATAAGTAGACACCAAACTGCTCAGGCCTGGTGACTTGAGTTTGGTCTCGAAGACCTACATAGTGGAACAAAAACAAACAAGCTAAAAACTCTAAAGCTGTCCTCTGACTTCCTCATGTGTTGCATGATATTTATAAGTGCTCCTATGAGCTTGCTTTCAACCTGTGTTTGGGTAAGCACACATTCTCTCTCTCTCTCTCTCTCTCTCTCTCTCTCTCTCTCTCTCACACACACACACACACACACACACACACACACACACACACACACTGTCATTGAAGTTTTCTTGTCCCACTGCTTCAGCCCCAAATAAACACTCAGAGATACTACATTAATTATAAATCTATTGGCCGATATCTAGGGTTTCTTGTTGGCTAGCTTTGTCTTAATTATTATTTCCACATGGTCTCATCATACCAGAGAAGAGTCTGGACCTGTTATTCTTTCCTCTGCTACACGGTGAGAATTCAGAAACCTGGGAATATAGCTCACTTGCTAGAAGGCTTGCCTAGTATGCACAGAGCACTGGGTTCCACCTCCATAATCCATATATTGAGTGTGGTGGTGCACACCTGCAATCCTAGCTCTGTGGAGGTGGACGCAGGCGTATTGTTTTTAGTCACATAATTTTAC